AGTGAGGTTGACCCAGGATTGGGCAGTGTTTCGTTCTGCTGTGCATAAGGTCGCTATGGGTTGGTACCAACTAGATGTCACCTAACAACAACAACAATGCATTATGGCAGGACTGAGGTGGAAGCAAATCCATGCCATACATATGTCTAAAATCTATGGTGATATACCATGCATAATTACAAAGAATTATAGAACAAGAGCTGTTTCCATCACAAATTGGAGAAGAGTTAAGGTCCATAAATGAAGAAGCTACTTAAGCCTAGTGAGTTTAATCAGGGAAAGTGTACTGGAGGCAGATCTGGGAGCTTCACCTCAGCCTTCAACCTCCCTCTCCCCTTCTCCTCCTTCTCCCTTCCCCATGATTCCTCTTCTCTCTGCTCTCTCAGAGTCTGGTTGGGGAGGCTGGAGGAGACCTCATCGACTATCCACTGGGACGGCCAGCTGTATCTCCCAAGAAGATGCCAGTCTTGCCCCCCATGGGTGATAATACCAACTCTCAACTGGCCATTTCTGCCAACTTCCTGAGCTCGCTGCTGACTTACCTGCAGAAAAAAGGGGCAATGGATATTGACATTACTGATGGCATGGTGAGCCATGGTGTGGTGGGCGGGGGAGCGAACAGTGATATCGACATCACTGATGGCATGGTGAGCCCTAGTGTGGTGGGCGGGGGAGCGAACAGTGATATTGACATTACTGATGGCATGGTGAGCCGTGGTGTGGTGGGCTGGGCAGCGAACAGCTCTTCATTGACCCGTTCCTGTACCCATGACCTCAGGACAACTGCTTTAAAGTAAACCATAGACAGCCCACCCCTTGATTCATCTCCAATTCATGGGTATGTAATAATCATGCCAGCGTTGACCAAAGTATGGTGCCCAGGGAGATTTTAGGTGGTTCACAAACATCACGTTAAGTAATATCAAGTCTCATGATGAGAAACTTGCTCCCTATTTAATTTAATTTAATTCCAATCCTTAAAAATATATGTATGTATCTTAATATAAAATTTTAGAATCCTTCCACCTAGCATACATTGATATTAACTAAACTAAAAGATATATAAGCATAAATTACCATCCTTAGGTATACTCCATTTTCTCCCCAAACCTTTTCTTTGGAAAAATTTTAAGCCTTTAGCAAAGTTGCAAATGAATATACCATAAACCTTTCACCTAGATTCACTAGTTAATATTTTGCCATATTCATGTCATCTCTCTCTTTCTCACTCTCTCTACCTACCTATATACCTACCTACAATCTATCTACCTAAGGAGCCTTAGTGGTATAGCGGATTATGACCTGGCTACTAACCACAAGGTTAGCAGTTCAAATCTACCAGTCACTCCTAGGTGGAAAAATGAGACTTTCTGCTTCATAAAGATTTACAGCCTTGGAAACCCTATACAGGGTCGCTATTAGTCAGAACTGACTCACTAACACCTACCTATCTACCTGTCTGCTGTTTTTGTTTTTTTTTAATAATTTGAGTGTTTGGCCACATCACATTTCACTCTATGAGATTCAGCATGTATCCCCTAAGAACAAAGTGTTCTCCAAGAAAGCACAATACAAATCATGCCAAACTTTGATTCCGTCAAGTGGAGAGTCTCCATGTGGAGCCAGTGCTTAGTAACCCCCTTTTGCACTGATAAATACTCACTTTAAGCAAGAACAGGCTACACATCCAAAGTCAATACAGACAGTAATATCCATCTAGAATGGCATTTTTAGTTATTATTACATTTATTCTTAAAATTCTCATCTCTTCTGTCAAGTGGAACTAGTGTCCCAGTTTTTATAGCATTATGAATTTCTTTAAAAATAAGCATCTGAGGTTTCAGAAAAGATGTTGGTTTAAAGGGGATGGAGGAAAAAATATTACAGGAGGCTCAGGGATATAATAGAAGTCATGAATTTGGTAGATGCTAAGTTATGTAAATAAGGAGCTCTGGTAGTGTAGTGGTTACGAATCGGGCTGCGAGCCGCAAAGTCAGCAGTTCGAAACTACCAGCGGTTCCGCGGGAGAAAGATGAGGCAGTCTGCTCCCGTAAAGATTCATAGCCTCGGAAACCCTGTGTTGGAACCGATTCCACAGCACATAACGACGACAAAGTTATGTAAATAGGACTTGTTGGTGCTCAACAGGAGGCTCAGGGATATAATAGAAGTCATGAATTTGGTAGATGCTAGGTTATGTAAATAGGACTTGTTGGTGCTCATCTTTGGCATTTAAAAAAAAGAAGATAGATTCAGGAATAACTGGAATTGAGGTCTTTCCTCCTGCTCTGTAAAGCATGCTTGTGGTGAACTCAAATGACCAAGGCCAGTGAAATTCCTATGGTTTGTGGGGCTAGATGGGCAGGGCCCCCACGGGGACTTCCTGTTCCCTTAAGGGAGAGAAGATGGTTCACTGGTTGTCTTCAGAGCACATAGGAGTTTAATCACTGAGCTAGTGCTTCCTGTATATCCCTGTTGTGTTAGGGACTTACACACAACTCTTCTTCTCCTACAGTTTGAAGAGCTTCCCCCACTCACCACATCCACGCTGGGAGCGCTGATTCCTAAGGTAAGGCAAATGAGTCTCCTCTTCAGCCTCCCCGGAACAAGGATGAAAGGGGAGGTCCTCAGCACTCTTTGGAAGTACAGTGACTAAGGCATGGAGGCCAGATCTATATGAAAGGGTTGAGGTGGAAAGATCAAACTCTTTCCTGCTCAGATCTATTCCTGGTCTGGCCACCCCTTCACTGGGTGACTTTGGGCAAGAGACTTAACGCCTCTGAGCCTTTGTTTTGTCATCTGTCATAAAAGGGTACTAATACCTATCTCAAGGAGTCCTGGCAGCATGATGGATTATGAGATTGGTTGCTAACCGCAAGGTGGGCAGTTTGAATCTACCAGTTGTTGTGCGGAGAAAGATGAGCCTTTCTGACCTGTAAAGCCTTATAGCCTTGGAAACCCTATGCAGGGTCGCTATGGGTCAGAACCAACTTCATGGCACACCACCACCACAATACCTATTCCACAGGCTTGTGGATGAGGGCAAAAGACATAATGCTAGCACAAGGCCTGGTAGATGGTGGGTTCATGGTGTCTTAGAGGGGAAGGGCCAGATCCTTGACACAGACAGACCTGAATTTGAATCCTAACTCAGCATTTCCAGCAATATTTCCTTAGACAAATGACTGTCTCATTGAGCTTCCAGTTTTTCTTCTGGAAAACAGAGTGATTGAGGACCTGGGATCTGAAAGTACAGAGCAGGTGTTGACAAATGTTAATTACTATGATTGTTGTTAATAAATACAAAATCTTAAACAAATTTTTAAAAAGAAGCCAAAGCACGCTTGTCTAATACGTAGCCATCTTTCTGGTCCCAGCTCTGGCTCCAGGCCCTTTATACTACCCCTAGCTGAAAGAGTCCATACACAGTAAGCATTAGACAGGTGGAAAAGGTTGCTGTAATCTACAGACATTTTAGACAACTTTTAAGCTATTTTCTGCCCATCCTGTCTAGTTCTGGGTGGAATTCAGAGAAAGAAGCAAGGGAGGAGATGGCATCTGGGAGAGAAGAGAGTGGGAAGTCCCCCTTTTCAGTCTCACGCTACAATAGTCTGCCACAAACACCAAACCCAACAAATGATCACCATCTCCCTTATGTTGTTGAAAGCCGAATGGCACAGCACAATTTAATGTTATAACTAACTATATAAGGGAATGAACTCAGTGGTGCAGTAGGTTATGTGTTGGGTTGCTAACCGAAAGGTCAGCAGTTCAAATCCACCAGGTGCTCTGTGAGAGATAGATGAGACTTTCTGCTTTTGTAAAGATTTACGGTCTCACAAATCCTATTGTTGTTGCTACTCAGTGCCATCCAGTTGAATCCAACTCATAGAGACCCTGCATAGGATTTCTGAGAAGCAACTGGTGGGTTTGAACTGCTGACCTTGTGGTTCCTAGTCCAGTGCTGATCCTACAACACCACACCAGGAGTCCAGAGGATCACTGTGAATTAGAATCCACTTGATGATAGTGAGTTTGGGTTTTCTCTTTGGTTGGTTTATCGTAATGATGCCAACTAACTATGAACAAACTATAGTTGGTTTATCATTACTCTGAGTAATGATATATATCTAACAACAATAACATGGCAGCTTAGGAGCCAGATTGTTATTGTTTGTAAGTGCTGTCGCATCAGTTCTAACTCATAGCGACCCTGTACAAGGTTTCCAAAAGATGGATGGTGAGGTGGAACTGCCAACCTTGTGGTTCAAACCGACCTTGCAGTCCAGCTCATTAACCTGCAGTGTCACACCAGGACTCCCGGAGGCAGATGGACCCCTTCAATTGATTGGATCACTTCCCATGTGCTCTGCCCAGGTTTATGAAATGCTTTGAGAAACTCATTTTGTTCTAACTATTCCTCCACCATTAAGGAAGAACACACTCCTTTACAGGAGCCCTCCTGGTGCTGTGGGCTAAGCATTGAACTGCTAACTGAAAGGTCATCAGTTCTCTATGGGAGGAAGATAAGGCTTTGCCTCCATAAAGATTTACAGTCTCAGAAACCCGAAGGAGCAGTTCTACTATGTCCTACAGGGTCACGATGAGTTGGAATCAACTCAATGGCAGTGGGGTTTTTGTTTTTTTTTTTTGGGTTTTTTTGCTTGCACTCCTTTTATATAGGGACACTGAGTCTCAGGGAGACCATGCAATGAGGAAGTGGCAGAGCTGAGCTAGAACAGGAACTCAAGGCAAGAAACTGGACAGAGTTCATGGCAAGGGGGATTCAGGCTGAACACTGAGGATGTGTCCTGGAGACCCAGGCTGGGTGGTGTCACCCAGAGATGCTGGACCAGGTCTTCTGTCTCTGTGGGGAGAGGACAAGTAATCTCCTGGTGTCCCATGAATGAAAACACTGTTCTTGTAGACTCTGAGGGTTAGAGTAGAGGTGGTTAGGACATCCTTTTCAAAAAGGCAATTTACCATGTCGACATGTTGAAAGCCAGTTTGCCAGAGAATGACTTTACTGAGTGGTCAGTTGGCTGAATTGACCAGGTTTACCAACTGACCAAGAGTTTGGGCAAAAGAATCATCTTAAATGTGCCCAAGCAAATGAAGAGAATTGCTTTTGCATATGGAAGTTTCCATTTCTCCAGGCTTCTATTTCTTTTAAAAGCAACTTTATAGTTTTTGCTTGTATGTGTATATATATTTATTTAATACATATTAAAAAAATACTCCTTAAAATATATAATTTTTTTATAATCCACAAACTAGTCATTTGGTAAGTTGTCCCTTTACCAAAAGTAATTCAGAGAATCAGTTTGCATCAAACAGGTTTAGCTACCTCCCACTCTGAGTCTCAAGAGCTCCAGAAAATCCAGGTAGGTGAAACATCCCAGGCATTCTAGGACTTTGTTAGGACAAACCCTAGGTTGTGGGTTCCCTTGTTCGGGGAGCGCTGGTGGCTCTGTGGGATAAATGTTGGGCTATTAACTGCAAGGTCAGCAGTTTAAACTCAACAGTCATTCTGCAGGACAAAGATGAGGCTGTCTGTCCCCATAAAGATTTCCAGTCTTGGAAACCCTCTATGGGAATCAATTTGATGGCTGTGGGTTTGGTTTGGTGTGGATTTTGTTCCAGGAACTGCGTCTGAGGTTTTGAGTCCCACAGACCTGAGCATGAAACTCAATTCTCCTGTTAGCCTTGGACAATTTGCTCTGAGCCTGTTTCTCTCTGAGCTCAGTGTTCTCATCTGTAACCTGGAGAAAAAATACCGCATGGAGTTGTGATGATGGAGTGCAATTACCCATGTCCCGCCTCCACTTGGTGGAATGGCAGGCTGTGAGCAGTTCCGCAGGTTGGGCATTCCCTTGCAGACATGATCACATTTCATCATCACAAAGAGCAGTAGTGAGAGGACCAGAGAGGGTTGGGCTCTGCATAGGGTTTGTGGGACTCAAACTGTGATGTTGAATTTGAAGGTTTCTGAATTTGAGGCTTCTGTGCTATGTGTTTAGAGCTTGGCTGATGATCCCCTGGGTATACCCCACTCATGCAACCTGGTACCATCTTCAGGTGTTCCAGCAGTACCCCGAGTCCCGTCCACTTATCATCAAGATCCAGGTGCCGAATCCGCCAACGGTGTCACTTCAGAAAGATGAGGCGGTGGTGAGGGTGTTTGCCACCTCTGAGATCATGGTCTCACAGCCCAATGACGTTGAGACCACCATCTGCCTCATTGATGTGGTGAGTGTCTGGGGGGCACAATCCACAGGTGGCTGGTCTCTCCGGGCCCAAAGGCCCTTTCATGCCCTGACAGTCCCCAGTATGGTGACTGTCAGCCTGACTTGGGGTTGGATGCACTGATTCAAACCCAGCCTTTACCATGTCTAGCTGCATGTCCTTAGGCAAGTCACTTCCCCCTCAGGGCCTGATTTTCTCCTCTATCATGTGGAGATGGCAGTGGGACACTAATAAGTTGCTCAGAGTAGTACCTGGCATCTCATGATGCCCACAAAACATTGGCTGTTATTAATCTTATAGGTTGTATACCAGCTGTGGCAAAGGAACTGGTACCAAATAGACCTTGATTGTTCATTTTGGCAATATTTTTTGAGCATCAACTGTGTGTTATGGAATTTTGGTGTAGCGCTGTAGGATAAGCACTGGACTGCTAACCTCAAGGTCCATGGTTCAAATGCACCAGATCCTGCTCAGAAACCCTATTCAGGGTTGCAATGAGTTGGAACCAACTCAATGGCACTTACTAACAGCAACAACTGTGTGTTAGGGTTTCTACTAGATACTGGGGATCAGCTCTTCTGGAGTTCACATTATAGCAGGGAACAGATACAAACACAATTTCCATGATTATTTCATAGAGAGGGGTCCTCTTAGAATGTAAATCATGTCATTCTCCTGCTTCCCTTCCACACCAGAATAAAGGCTAAACTGCTCACAATGACTCATAAAGTTCTCCAACATCAGCCCCGGCCTTGTCTCAGTAACTCACAGTTTCTCTAATATGCCTCAGGCCTATGCACATGATGTTCCCTCTGCCTGGAATAACTATTTCCCCAGACATCTGCATGGCATTTTCTCCTACTTCCTTCAGGTCTCTGCTCAAATGTCACTTCCTCAGCGAGACCTTCCAGGACTGACCATCAGGCTAAAACATCCCCTTCCTACCATCACTCTCTCTCTCTCTTTGCTTTGTTTTGTTCACAGCATTTATCTGCCATTAGCAAATACATTGGTTTGTTAGTTCATTGCTGGGCAAGGCATCTATCTGTCTTATTCACTGCTTGATCTCCAGGACCCAGCACATAGTAGGTGCTCAATACATATTGAGCCAACATGTATGTTAGTACCATTTCTCCCTCTATGGTTAAGACATTAGGCTTTGGGCTCAGACAGCTGGGCTTCTGGCCCCATCTAATATGTCTTCCCAGCCCCTCCTACCTTCTAGGGTTCAAGACCAAATGAGCCAGCCACCTCTCATACTGGAAGGGAGTGTGCCCAGTCACAGTGTGTGGATGGGTCCTTTCTGTTCCTGTGAGGAGCAGACTCAGCGTAGAGATTTTCACAAGGAGTGGGGATGGCTGCTTCTGATCCAGTTTCTCTTTGATGGGGCTCTATGAAAATTCCCTATTACCTCCCCAGATGTTTATCTGTGTCAGCTCAGAGTCCTGCCGGGATGCCCCATTGCTCTGACACCTCCATGGCCACCAGTCCTGAATGATCTTGCCCCATTCCACCCCAGCATCATCAAACCTCTCACCTCCTTGTTCTCTGGTTTTATCTCTGTTCCTTGAGAGTCAAGCTCCTCCCCACCTTGGGCTTTTGCACATGCTCTTTCTGCTTCTTGGAGCATTCTCCTGCCTTCCTGCCCCTCCCCACCTTTTTCACTTGGCCAAATCCTACATATCCTTCAGTCCTCAGCTCAAACAACACTTCCTCAGGATGATTTTCCAAGCCAATGTAGGTCCCTGCTAATATATATTCATAGTTTGCCATTATAATGATTGGTATCCTGGTGTAGGTTCAGCACTGGACTGCAAACCACAAGGTCAACAGTTCAAACCCACCAGCTGCTCCTAGAAAATCCCATACAGGGTCACTGTGAGTTGGAACTGACTCCAAGGCACTGAATAACAACAACAGCTTTATTACTATTACTATCACTTAAATCTGTTAAGGCGATTGCTTTGTTTCATAAAGCCAATTAAAAATTTTTGTTTATTTTGCAGGTGGGGTTGGGGAGGGATTTTCCTACAGAGAGACTTCTGCTTGGAGAGGGAATCAGTTTGGATCTTTAGTGCCTCCCCCTAGAAGCTGGGACAGTTATGACAGGCAATAATGATACCCAATCCCATCTGCAGTGGCTCCTCTGAAGTGGATTTTATAGACAGCAGGACTGCTCCGTGCTTTTTTTTTTTTAATTGCAATAAATTACCCATAACATGAAATTTACTGTTTTAAACATGTTTTAAACATAATTCACTAACCAGTATGTTATCAGTGTTGTAAAATCATCACCACAATCTTGTACTGAGAACACGGTGGCTCTAGATGATAAATACTGGACTATGAACCAGCCATTCCACAGGAGAAAAATGCGGCTTTTTGCTTCTGCAGCAATTTAAAACCTTGGAAACCTATTCAAGTTTACTGTGAGTCGGAATCGACTCCAAGGTATTTAACAACAACACTATCTATCTATCTATCTATCTATCTATCTATCTATCTATCTATCTATCTATCTATCTATCTATCTATCTATCTATCTATCTATCCCTAGTGTGATACTATAGGATAAGCACTGGACGGCTAACCCTAAGGTCAGCAGTTCAAACCCACCAGCCACTCCTTGGAAATCCATACAGTGTCTCTATGAGTTGGAACTGACTCGACGACACTTAACTACAACAAAACTCTAGTCCCAGGACTTTCTCATCATCCCAAAAGAAACTCCATACCCGTTACACAGTCACTCCCCATTTTCCTTCCCCTTCTGTCTCTGGGTATTTGCCTGGATTTTTATATAAGTGGAATTGTACAATATTTGGTCTTTTGTGTCTGGCTTCTTCCACTCAGCGTGTTTTCAAGCCTCAGCCACACTGTAACTTGTACAGGAATTTTGTTCCTCTTGATGACTAGTATTCCACCAGTGGACATTTGTTGTTGTTAAATGCCATCAAGTCCGTTCTGATTCATAGCGACCCTGTAGAGGGTTTCCAAGGAGAGGCTAGTGGGTTTGAACTGCCAACCTTGCAGTTCGAACTGAACTTGTGGTCCAGTGCATAATCCTACAGCGCCAGCGCCACACCATAGACAGATCGGATGGACATACTTGCGTGTTTCTTATTCATTCATTGGTTGATGGACATTTGGGTTTCTGTCCCTTTTTGCTGTGGTGTATAACATTGCCATGGAAAATTGTTTTTGAGTGCCTGTCTTGCATTCTTTTGGGTACCTACATGAATAGAATGGCTTAATCATATGCTAACTTTGTGTTTAATTTACTATTTAGGAGTCACCAGAATGCTTTCCATGTGTCTGTACCATTTTTAATTTAATCAACGCATGAGCATTTCAGTTCTTCCACATCCTCACCAAAACTTATTTTTCATTTTTGTTGTTGTTGTTAATGGACATCCTGGTCTTTTAGAACTGACAAGTACCCAGATAAACTGGGTAAATATCCTGCATTCCAATCATTGGGATCCTATGACATTTGTCTTTCTGAGATTTATGCACTCAGTCCCGGCTATGACTTACTTGTTAATGTTACTAGTTAATGTTGACCATTTATCTTTTCTAAGTCCTGAGAGAGAGGGAAGAATTCATACATTACATGGTGAGCACTGCTGGAGTTCTCAGCTTATAAAAGTTTGCTGGTCAAGGTCTCAGGAACAGCATGTTATGCTTAGTGTTAATGACTCACCTAGCCGGTGCCTAGCACACAGTAGGTCCTCAGCAAACAGTACTGGTCATATGGTGACATTTTGTTTTCCCCTTTCCCTCCAGAACACGGAACTCCTGGCCATGTTTTCTGTGGAGGGAGATAAGCTCATGATCGATGCCAAGCTAGACAGGTAAGGGGTTTTTCTGCCTTAGGCAGGAGCTCATCACAAAGGCTTCTTTGGTGTGCTGTGGTTGTGGCTGGCTCACAGAGCAGGTTGAGTGAAGCTGTAAGCTTAGGAGAAAGAACCTACTGCTAACAACAACAGCAACATCAATAATAGTAATGAAGCCCTTCTGTTTAGTCCTTGAAATGGTCCTGTGAAATTAGAGCCATTAGTCACCCTTTTGAAAGAAGAAGAAACTGAGAATCAGAGAGGTGCATTTACTTACTCAGGGCCATACAGCAAGTACGTAGAGGGGCTGTTAGTTGACACAAGCCTACCAGGTGTGTTAAGTGTTTACAAACACAGAATTCAGAGTCAAAAAGTATGGGCTCAAATCCTGATGTGACACAAACTGGCTGTTTGATCTTGGCCCAGTGGCCTCAGTTTTCTCACCTGAAAATGGGAATAATAGTCCCTGCCTCGTAGGATTCATTATTAATGAATTAATATGGTAGCGTAGTAGTTATGAATCGAGCTGCGAACCGCAAGGTCAGCAGTTTGAAACTACCAGCTGTTCCACAGGAAAAAAATGAGGCTTTCTGCTCCCGTAAAGATTTACAGCCTTGGAAACCCTGTAAAGTGTCGCTATGAGTCGGAACCGACTCCACAGCACATAACAACAACAACAACATACAATATGGTGGCGTATAGAAAATGGTGGAGTTCTGGTGTGGTGCTATAGGATAAGCATTGGACTGCCACAAGGTTGGCAGTTTAAAGCAACCAGCCACTCCTTGGAAACCCTACATAGGATCTCTATGACGCAGAACTGGCTCGATAGTATTTAACAATAACAACATAGATTATGTTGAAAACCCATAGGGATTTTAAAATCTAAAGCCCTTAACATTGTGCCTGGTACATAGTTAGTGCCCAGTATATGCAAAGCACCCCCATCCCCATCAGGAGAGGTCTTCTTGACACCATGTTGATGGAGCAGTTTTTCATTGTTTATTGAAATGCAAGCACCTTATGATTCTTGGTTAATTGCTACTTCCAACAGGCTGTTTTCTTTATCTGCAGGACCGATCTCAACCTCAAAACCTCAAATGTGGGCAACTTTGATGTAAGTCCTAAGCCCAGGCCCCTGAATTACTTCTGGAAGTCCCAGGGCATCCTGTGAGGCTGGCTGGGGGCTGGGGAGTTTGCGTGAACTGAAAAATAGGGGCTTAAGTCTCAATGTCCTTGGAGGTCAACAGTCCCGTTCTACAGACCGAGACACAGAGCGAGTGAGAGAAGAGAACCGACTTCTTACTCTCCATCCAGTGCTGTCACCTGTAAGTGGCAGCCTCAGGTGGGGAGGAGAGTGGACATGTCCTCAGGACTCCTTTCTTCCTGGAGTCAGGAGACTTCACTTTGCTCTGTGACTTTGGACCTTAGTTTCCTCATTTGCAAAATGGATGCATTTGGATTCCTTTCTAATCACTTTCTTATCTGGAGGTCCTAGAATCTATTTGTCTAGGAGCCCATGAATCTGAGATGCTCACATTTTAGCATCTGGTTCTGTTTTACCTCCTTGTTCATTCTGGGATCGCACCACCGCCCCGCGCCCCCTCCCCCCCACCAGCCCTCCACCCCAGAACTTCAGATATACCCCTTTTTCTTTTATAAATCATCAACTTCAACACATGCTTGGATGATGTTTCCACATGTGCAGAGTAAGGTTGTGACTACTTGGTTGCTTCTTGGACATCTTTTCTGACCCAAACTGCTGCAGTTTAGTTGCTAGCACAGTTTGATTGTGTAGGTGGAGAAACAACAGGAACCCAGAGAGAGGCAGTGCCCTGACGAGGCCTCACAGCTGGTTGGGGCAGAATTGGGACTAGAACAGAAACTTTTGGATTTCAGGTTGTTGTTGTTTTTTAAGTTTTTCTCATTTAATCCTCACAGAAGTTAAGTGGCTTGCCTAAGCTTACAGAGGTAGTAAGAGGCAGCGCTGGGATTTGAGTTTCGGCTTGCACCACTCTGAGGATCCAGAAGTCCACTCATGGCAACTCCATGTGTGTCAGAGTCAAAATAGGACCTATAGGGATTTCAATGGCTAATTTCTCAGAAGTTTATGGCCAGGTCTTTCTTCTAAAGCACCTCCGTGTGAACTCAAATCGTTAACTTGTTGGTTCACATTAACTGTTTGTGCCACCTAGAGACTTCATCTTACAGCTAGAAGCTTATATTTAGATTTTGACAGCCTTCTAGGGAGGAAGCTTATTCACTTCCATTTTCAGATGTGAGGCTTAGAGAATTTAAAGGAGATAATACGAAGGGGCTTCAAAAAGATCGTGGAAAACTTCCAGTATCTTTCATTCATTTTTTTCCATGAACTTTTTGAAGCCCCCTCATAAATGAAAAGGCTCAACGCCAGGCATTTCACATGACTTGCCTATACCCATTATTTCACCGGGGTGTTCCGACTCATGGTGACCTCATATGTGTCAGAATAGCAACTGCTCCGTTGTTTCCAGGGGCTGATTTTTCAGAAGTATATCACCTGGCCTTTCTTTCAGGCTGGATTTGAACCACCAACCTTTTGGTTAACAGCCAAGTTCTTAACTGTTTGTACCACCCAAGGACTCTAAACTGGGGTTATTAGCCCATTTGACAACTGAGGAAATTGGGGATCTGAGAGGTGAGGGAACCTACCCAGAGGTCCACGGAGGCCCATGGCTGGGTTCAGGGCCCTTTGAATCTGAGCACGCTGGCTACCTGGGCTCAGTTCTTGTTCTTCCTCTGCAGGTTGGCCTCATGGAAGTGATTGTGAGGAAGATTTTCGATCTGGCATTTATGCCTGCAATGAATGGTAAGAGCGTAACTGTGCGTCCCCAAGGGCATGTGGTTTGGGGATTGGTGGCTGCTGGCTTGTTGGATCTGTTTCTCGTATGACTGTCCTATGTTAATTAGTTGTTTTGATGACTTAATTCTAAGCTTATTTATTTAAATCTCTGAATGCAAATGTTATATCCAAGGGGTTTTCGACTTCCTTATTTGCTTTGTCTGCTTTATTCTTTCTTTCTTTTTTTTTAGTTTGGCTGATTGATTTCTCTGATTTTATATATAAAATTCCATGTATATATGAAAAGTGTGTAAACTTTAGAAAGGAAAAACAGTTTTATGTAAATATTCAGCTCCCAGAAACAGTTATTTTCTTCTAAACACGTCTTTTTTCATATAGTTATTTCCTGATTTTTAATTTTCACCAACACAATAACTTCCACATTTACAACGCAGTTACATTGATTATGTTTTCCATGTTGTGTCACGAATTATTATCTTTTCCAAAAATATTCCACCTTAGTCCTTTGTTGTTGTTGTTGTTAAGTGCCATTGAGTCGGTTCTGACCCATAGCGACCCTGTACAGGGTTTCCGAGGGTGTAAATCTTTACGGGAGTAGAAAGCCTCATCTTTCTCCCGTGGAGCGGCTGGTAGTTTTGAACCGCTGACCTTAAGGTTCGCAGCCCGATTCGTAACCACTACGCTACCAGAGCTCCTTAAGCACCCTTCAGTTCTGGACCTGAACCCAGCTCTGGGGGTCTTCTTTCAATCACGGAATAGACAGACCTTTGAAGTGAATAACAGCAACAGGGAGGGATGTACTCCTCAGTAAAACCAACCGTATGAGACCAAATGCAGCACTTGCCCCAAAAATGCAGCTCAGAAGACAGGAAGGGGCAGGAAGAAACTGTAGAATGGAAACAGGTAACCCAAGGGGAAGTGGGAAAAGTGCTGCTATAGTGAAGAGATTCCAACCAACTTCATGAAACAAAATGTGTATAAATTGTTGAATGGAAAACTAATTTGTTCTGTAAACTTTTCCCCAAGCTACAATGAAAAGACAATCAAAATATCCCACCATCATTAAAATGAACTGAATGTCCCTCCCAAACAATTCCTCCTGTTCCCTTCCCTCCCACCCCTAGTAACCATAATTGTTGGTTTTTACATGTTTGCTGGGGTCCTGGGGTGGTGCTGTAAGATAAGCACTGGACTGCTAACCTCAAGGTCAGTGGTTCAAATTCACCAGCCGCTCCTCGGAAATTCTATTCATGGTTACTAAATTGGAACCAACTCGATGGCACTTGGCAACAGCAGCGATACGTTAGTGTTTGTTGTTTGGTGTCTGACTTAGCAAGTCAGTGTAAACACTGAAGTCCCTGTGTTGAAATGCTATACCATGCTGACTGAACTTGTGTATTTCATAGCCATTCTGGGGTCTGGAGTCCCTCTCCCCAAACTCCTCAACATCGACTTCAGCCATGCAAATGTGGATGTCTTGGAGGTAAGGGGTGCCTGCCTGGGCTTTGTTCTGCTTTCTCCTCCACGCCCTCTGCCCTTGGTGACTGCAAGTGTCCAGATCACTCATCAGAACGGTGAAAGAAGGGACAGAAAGGGCAGGGAAATCAGGAACCTCTTGTTTCAAAGTATGGGACTGAGGGAACAAGAAAATGAAGTTGTAAAGATTCTTTAAGAGGAAGTTTTCACAATATGAACTTTCTGTATCCTTGCAGCAGATGTCCTTCATTAGTCTTACAGATGTGGAAACTGAGCTCAGAGTAGCTAAGGGACTTGCCCAAAGTGTGATGTTAGTTCACCAGAAAAACTTTTCTTGAGCAGATGTTTTGCAAGGAGCTGCAGCAGTGGGCAAGACACATAGAAACCTGGCCCTGTGAAGTTCTCCCAGCTCACTGGGAAAATGAGCTGATCCCAGATGTAATTGCCTAATTATAATCAGGACAGGTGCCTTGAAGTTCAAGTGTAGGCACTCTTAGTTCTGCCGTAAAAACCACATGTGTTCAGTATCTGAAATCTGGAAGATACAGAGGGAAAAAAATACTAAGCAAAGGTGTATGTATTCTCTTAGATCCATATGCAAACCAGAAATCATGCCTTGAAACATTTTTCCTGTTTTTCATTCCAATCTTTCTGACATTTTATTTTTAAATAGGACTTTGATCAGGAAGTCAGGACAGTATTGGGATTACAGCATGAGGGCTCTGAACCCAATGGCCTGGGTTCAATTTCAGTCCTGCCACTTTCCAGCTGGGAGATTTCTCTGAGCCTCCGTTTTGCCCTTGTAACAAGGACTAATCCTAATATGGACTCATTAGGCTGCTTTTAGGATCAAGCACCTTTTCCAATCATTGGCACATTGTAGTGTTCTATTGTTATCAGCTTCATCACTATAGCAGGGTACACACAACTGTTTTTGAATCCAGGATATAGTTTCTTAGAACAGATTCCCAGAAATGAAATGACTGGATCAGGGTTGGGGAACCTTTTATTTCTGTCGAAATTTATAACATCATTTGCAGGCCATCCAAAATTATCCACTTCAAAATCAGCCTGCTGCATTTGGTCAAACCTTTGATTAACTCACCCTTAAGGTGATGACTAAGGAGTTTTGCTAGCGTAGTGGTTACGAATCGGGCTGAGAACTGCAAGGTTAGCAGTTCAAAACTACCAGCTGTTCCCTGAGAGAAAGATGAGGCTTTCTGCTCCTATAAAGATTTACAGCCTCGGAAACCTTGTACAGGGTCGCTATAAGTTGGAACCGACTCCGCGGCACATAACAACAACAATGTGTTGGCTGGAACTGCAGTTGCCTTCTCAGGGCCAGACCAAATGTTTTATATGGCCTGCAGGCCAGATGGTCCCCACTATTGCCCTAGATTGACAGTTTCCTTTCCAAATGGTTGTACCCCTTAGCGTTGCCTCCAAGAGTGTCAGAAGCATCCAGTTCCTCATGCCCCTGCAGACCTAGACCTTTACCCAAGGAGCAGTGCCCCTTCACATCAGCGGGAACATGTGAGGGAGGAACACAATGGCCTTGGATGGGCAGTGTAAGCAGTGGTCAGTTACAAACTTCAGAATAATCCCCAAGGGTTGCCATCCTTGTCCCACTTGTTGAACACTTGCAGGACCTCAGCACTGTTCTGAGCCTCGGTGTCCTCATCTGAAAATGGGGACAATATTAACCTTGTGGAGTTTGTGGTGAGAAACTAAGTGAGATAAAACATCTGATTGCTGTTAAGATTCTCGTAAATAGAGGGGTTAGGAAATAGGAGTAGGATTGGTGCAAATCATCACCATCATCATCTTCATTTCTACTATTTACCAGGCATTTGCACTGATCTATGAACTATTTTATATGTGTTTTGGTCTTACAACACTCCTGACTGGTGTCTGCCCACATATTGTACCTGCGTAACAGAGAAGGTAGAGCACTTACTCGAGGTCACACAGCTAGTGAAGGCTGGGGCTAGGTGTGCACTGAAATAATTTGAGGCATCTCAAGTTAGTGGTTCTCAATAAGTACTGTATTGTCTCCACCATCCCAACATCTCTCCAGAACCTTGTTAAAATGGGCACAGGGCAAGCTGTTCTTTATGAAGTAATTGTGTTTATATATTTCATACAAAATAAATGTGAGATGGTTTCAGAAAGTTCCTGCAAATATGGAACTAAAAGATATGAATCTTTTCACAAACTTTTTGAACCCCACCTTATATTATTTTGTTATAAATTACTTCCCCTTTATTTTTCCTTTATAGTCCAGTAAGAGAATTACATTGGTTTTTAAATATATGTGTAAGTAGGTTAAATCATCTATGAGTTTTATTTCAGAATAGTAAAGAGAATAACACAAATATCTGTAATTGGAATGTTGGATCTGAAAGGTGAAGGTTTCTAGAAAGTTTTCGGCTTAGTAATTCCCTTGTAAGTTATAGCTCATCTTATTATTATTATTATTATTATATGGATCTAGGCATTTTTGTTTTTTAGCTTTCCATTTGAAATAACTTTAGACTTAAAGAAAAGTTGCAAAAATAGTACAGAGAATTCTAGAACATTCTTTACACAGACTTCCTTTATCCTAGCATCTTACATAACCATAACATGGTAAAATCTGCTAAAACTGGAACCTCTATAAGGTGGATAATCTATCTGAAATGAAAAACTCAACTATTTTCCACTCAGACAGAGTGATTTAAAAAAAGATGGTAAGACTGCACCCTAGCAAAGGTGGAAAACTTGAGAGACTCAGCAAACCCAGTAAATTCCATCATTGTACAGCTGTCAAAACCAGGCAGGTAGCATCCACTTAAAACCCTGCCAGACAACCATCTCGCATTTACTTGCCATGTCTCCTTGGTCTCCTCCAATTGGTGATGATTTCTCACTTCTCCTTTTCTTTTATGATCTTGACATTTCTGACAAGTCTGCCCCATGCTGTAGAATTTTGTAGAATTTGATGTTTTCTCAGGGGTAGATCGAGGTTATGTATTTGGGTAAGAACACCAAAAAAATGTGACAGTATCTGTCCTGGTGCATCCAATCACGGACATACTGGTAATGTAGCCTTATGGTACACAGTAAGATGGTTCCTGCTAAGTTTTCCATTGTGGATTTACGATGTTTCCTTTTGTATTTCATTAATACCTTGTGGAGGAAAACCAAACAAAACCCATTGCTGTGGATTCCAACTCATAGTGACCCTGTAAGATAGACTAGAACTGCTTCAGAGTGAGCCTATAGGACAGAGTGGACCTGCCCTATAGGATTTCCAAGGATATAAATCGATATGAAAGTAGACTGCTACAGCTTTCTTGCAAAGAGTGGTGGGTGGATTCAAACCACCATCCTTTCCATTAACAGCCCCAAACTAAATCCGTTGCACTGCCAGGATCCCTTAGGCAGACAGAAAACTCACCCATGTGTCTTGTGGGAGGACTGGACAGTCCACGTTTCTCATCCTTCCACTAGTTTAATACCCATTAGCTGTTGCTGATTGCAACAATTATTCACTGTGGTCATTGCCAATTGGGATTTTCTATTTCTATCATTCCTTTTACATTTACTAATTGAAATTCTATTGTAAGGAAAAGCTGTTTCTTCTTCATTTATTTCTCTACTCAACTTAAAAAATACATCAGTGCAGACTCATGAATATTGATTTTTTCTAAGGGTTATAATTAGTTATTTTTATTATATAATTTATTGATAAGTTTTCTCTTTCTAATGATGAGAAGTAGATTTGGGGAAGGATGTGGAGAAGGGCTCAGTCTCACTTCTCTTATTTGGGGAAGAAGATGAGAAGCAGGAAGGCAAATGACTTCTGTCCAGGTGGATGACACGTCAGGGTGACCCCACTTGTACCAATGGCTCAGAACTATTGCTTTCCAGAAATGTGACTTGTCCAATCCAAAAGCAGGCGTGTCTGGCTGAGGAGCCCCCTAACCCGCTAACTGGGGTTCTGTGTTCTTCCCTCCAAGGACCTTCTAGTGCTGAGTGCATGAGTGACCAAGGCCAAGATGCTGCCAAAGTCCCAGGAGGAGCCAGCCCCGGCCCTGGAGAGGCTCAGCTTGGACACTGTCCCCGAGCCCCAGGTCCCTTCAATCCTCCACAACAGGTCCCTCCCCAGTCCTCCAACCTTGTTCCCAGCCCCACTTTGAGAAAAGATCCAGCCACTATCCCCACTGGCAAACAATCCCATGCACAGTCTACGGTCAGCTCTGGGTTGGGGGTGGGGACCACCTCAAAGACTGAGGTCCTGCAAGCTCCACACCGGCTCCACGGAATCCATGCTGCCTGCTTTACACTCACAATAAAAGATTCCACTTTCCCTGCAGTCTATTGAGTCTCAGTGAAGGACCCTCCCTCAGGGGCTGGTGACTTTCTTCCCTCCTTGGCACTCCTCAGACACTGGAAGTTGAAGCTATAAATGGACAGAGGGTAGTTCAGTCTAGGGCTGGGGAAAATGTCAGACATACCTGAGAACCCGTGGATGAGCAGAAAGGGGCTATAACTGGACTCTTACCGTCTTCATTCAGTGCGGCCTTGGCTGGACCCTCTTGCCTCCATTTCCACACATGGGGATGGCCAGGACTCAGAAGCAAGTTCAAAACCATCAGAGTTCACACTACCAAAGCAATCACCTTTCAGCATAGCTCCTGTGTGCCATGGAGTGAGGGTCTCATCTTTCTCAGTTTTCAGTTGCCCTCCCCCTCCCCCAGCTCTGTTTCCCAAGCTTGTGACTTGCCTAGACCCAGAAAGGGGATGGGTGTATCCCAGGCCCCAGCAGAACTGAAAGGGCAAACAAAACAACAGCAACAGAAGGGGAAAGTCCCCAACCCTTTCTGCTCCTTCTTCCTGAGAGCTAACTTTGGCTGAATACTTAACTACCTGCTAAGACTTTGGGACTTGATCTCATTTATCCTTCATGGCAGCCTCATGCTCTAGCATCTATCTACTTCTATGTGGTGCTGTAGGATCAGCACTGGACTGTGAACCATAAGGTCAGCAGTTCAAACCCACCAGCCACTCCTTGAAAACCCTATACAGGGTTGCTATGAGTTGGAATCAATCCATGGCACTTAACAATATGTGGAAGACAGGCATTCACATCTCAAATTTCATTGGCCAAAGCAAATCACATAACCCTGCCTGACTTATGAGTGCAGAGTACAACTACTCCATAAGGTTTTCAGGGCTGTAATGTTTCAGAAACAGATTGCCGGGCTGTTTTCTGAGGTGCCTCGGGGTGGGTTCAAACCACCAACCTTTTGGCTAGTCGTTGAGTGCTTAACCATTTGCACTACATAGGGACTCCTCCTCAAGGGATAAGGAAGTGTACTGCCCAGAAGGGGCAGGAAAGCCAGATACACAAGTACAGTCTTTAATGGCCTGAGTAGGAGGCTGGAAAAGTAGCCAAGGAAGACAATGGCTCTTGTTGCCATAGAGATATGGTACACACCCTGCAATGGTTGAGAAAATGTGGAAGGAGAGCCTAAATCAGCCCTTTATGACTATGTCCTTGGTTTCTAGAAATAAAATGCAATAGAAACCAGACCCCACTCAAATCAACTGTCGCTCAGCCCCCTCCCCAAGGTTCCTGGAAACCCTGTCTACCAGACAGCAAGAGGAATAGTCAATTTCTTCATATTCAAAATAATCACACAACATGTACATGACAGGGCAGCTTTATACTGGTTAATCTCATCCCTGACATCAAGAGGCCATTCAAAGAGAAAGATTTTTGGAGTCAACAGGACAAGATTCAAATCTGATCTCTATCACTTAGTGCCTGTGTTTCTTTGGCAAGACCCTTAGACTTTCTGCACCTTAATGTCCTTATCTGTAAAATGGGGATAATAGCAACTGTAAGGCAGGTGTGAGGATTAAATGAGATATTTTTTTCTTGTGATGGTTAGTACTGAGAATGGCAAACCAAGGTGATAGTTCTTGTCAGAATTGTTGTTGTTAAGTGCTGTCGAGTCGGTTCTGACCCACAGTGACCCTGTATAGGGTTTCCAAGGAGCCGCTGGTGAGCTTGAACCACCAACCTCGCAGTTCAAACTGCTTTGCAGTCTGGCGTGTTAAACCACAGTGCCACACCAGGACTCCTCTTGTCAGAATAGTGGTGACTAATTCCTAAAGTATGAATAGTTGGATCCTCTTGCCTCTGATCAGAGCTAAACAAGGGACAAGGAGAGGTACTTGCTATGTTTCTTAGCCAAGAGAATGCCCAAGAAATGCCTTCTAGAGTAAAGGCTGGGCTGCTCTCATGTCTATGTTTAGAGCCAAAGGGCACATGGTCCCAGCTTCTAGTCCTGGGGGCTCAGAAATAGCGAAGTCCCTTTTACACAAATAAGAATTTTTTTAGTTGTTTTCTCTGTGATGTTTGAAAACAGTGCCCTGTTTATTTCCTTTCATTTTAATATCAGGAAGTTAAACTACTGGGTTGACTGGCTTAGTATTAGATACCTTACAGCATCAGTACTTCATTCATTAATTCAGTGCCTACTAGTGCTTTGTTGTTAGGTGCCATTGAGTTGACTTCAACTCATAGTGAGTCCATGTGACAAGTAAAACTGCCCCATACAGTAATCTCCTGATTGCCAGGACCTTTTCCCGAAGCACACCTGGGTGAGTTTGAATTGCTGCCAATTTGGTTAGCAGTCTAGCTCTTTAACCATTATTCCTCAAGTTGAATTTATTGAGGGTTATGGTTATGAGTGCATTTGGGGTGCTGGTGTGGCTCTGTGGGCTTATGCATCAGACTGCAAAGTCATTTGAATTGCAAGGTCGGTGGTTCAAGCTCACTAGCTGCTCCTTGGAAACCCTATATAGGGTTGCTATGGGTCAGAATCGACTCGATGGCAGTTAACAACAATGGGTGCATGTTAGTACGTCTGATGTAACTTGGAGCTGGGCTTCTAGAGGGAAGAGTGAAAGAACTCAAGCAGAGGACTGGGGAGAAAGAGGGCTGGAGAGGTATGTGGGGGTGGTGATAGAAGTGTGTGTGGTGGGGTGAAGACCTTGTAGGCAGTTATGTGGGGTCTGGATTATGTTGTATGTACCATGAAAAGCTTTAGAAGGGCTTAGAGAAAGAGGTGATCAGATATGTATTTAAAAAAAAAAAACCCAACAAAACAAACCCAACAGCACCCCTCTGGCTGCTGAGTGGAGAATGCTTAGTGGGATAAAGAGAGAAGAGGGAAGACTAGTGAGGAGGTGGGAAGAGATGATGCTAACTGGACCAGCGTGGTGACAAATGGACAAATTCATGACTTTTTATAGCAGGTGGTCCTAAAAAGGTGAAAGTGGGAAGGGGGCAGTTATGATGTGGTCCCAAAGGCCCATGAATTCAAACCTGGGCTCCTTCCCCAGGTACCACATGCAAAGGAAGTACTTCCTCTCTTCTAGCAATTCTCAGGGCAGGCAGGACAGGAAGTACAACTTCTTTTCTTGAGTGCCCTCCCTAGGATTTTGGCAAGAAGTCTCCTTCCTTTTCTAGTTTTTCTTCCCTAACACTTGAGCCTTAGCAAAACCACCAGGAGAGATGGAGACCCTGGATTCTGGGAGGGGAAGGGTATGGATGATGAAGACTCCCAGAGTGGGCTCTGATGATGTGTCTCCATCTCAGCATCCAGTGGTGACTCCCCCACTTCCCTCCCTGATGGGTCTCTGTTTGTTCCTACATTGTGGTGAATTATTTCATGTCTCTTCTAGTCATAGTATGTAACCCCCACCAAACAATGTTTCTGCCCGCTGGGTCTGGATAAGAGAAGGTGGGAGAAGATGCTGATAGGACATGATTCAGCTGTGAGTGGTTAAGAGTGTTAATTGTGATTGTAAAAACCTGGAACTCTAACAGGTATGAAATGAGCCATCTCAGAAGAGGAAGGGGGGGAAATCTCACTACCATCAAAGAAGAGCCAGGAGTAGAACTTATCCTTTGGATCACAAGGTCGCTGTGCATTGAACCTCCTAAACCCAGGGACAGAAGGCTGTGATGCCAAAAGAGTGACAGAGAAGCAGCAGCAGCTGGAGGAGAATAAAAATCCAGAGCACAACAGAGCGATGAGCTTCCCACCCCACAAAGCAAGTTAGCGGAGCGACTGGGTAAGAGGTTTGCTTGCAGAGTGGGGTGTCTCCAGGCATTTAATGTAAGAGCTAGGTTTGCTGGCCCAGGGAGCTAGAACAGAGTGTCTTCTGGCTAAGGCTTAGGGTGGTGTGGCGGTCCTGTGGGCATTTGTCTGCAGCCCTAAAAGACCTTTGTAAATTGGTTGGGCAGAGAGAGGTCTGCCTGTGGGCACTACTGGGGAGAGGCTGTCTTGACAGGAACAACTGTGCCCTGAGCATTTCTGGTCCTGCATTGTAACTTCTCTGATAAGCTCTGTAACTGTGAATATGGGTCTCAGTTCTGTGTAACCATTGCAATGAGTTAGTTATTGAACCCAGCTGAGCTGTGGGAGGAATGGTTTGGTACACATATTCTATTGTTGCTGCAATTCCCTTTATAGTGCTCAAGACAATCTCAAAATACACTCTTTATTATTTATTTTATTATTCTCTTGGATTAGAATCTAAGCTTTGCAAGAATAAGAGTCCTGTCTCTTTGGTCAAGTGTGGAATTCCCAGTGCCTGAAGCACTAGTGGATAAAGAGCCCTCCTTGGTGGTGCAATGGTTAAGGGCTGGACTTTGAAACCACAGGTCAGCAGTTCAACTCTACCCAGCCACTCTGTGGGAGGAAGTCCCAGAAATCTGATGATAAGCCATTACTCATTCCATCAAGTCAATTCTAACCTCATGAAGCAGAGTGCAACTTCCCCCAGAGAGTTTCCATGACGGTAATCTTTATGGAAGCAGATTGCCACATCTTTCTCCCTGGGAACAGCTAGTGGGTTTGAACTACCAACCTTTCATTTACTGTGTGCTTACAACTTAGAAAACCACAAAAGCAGATTTATTCCATTGTATGAGATCACTGTGAATCAAAACTGACTTTGTTGT